AAACCCCCCAGCGGGAGACTAGCCCCCCCCCCTGCCCCCCCCCGTGCTCCTTTGAACCAGCTGTGGAATAGATCAGACTCCAGATCCTCTCAGCGGCCACATGGGCAGAGAGGCTGAGCGGGGAAGGGCTTCGCACGTCCAGGCAGCTCCCGGCGGGCTGGCGTTGCTAACGGGCAGCATTAACACCCACCTACGCTGGTGTGGTCAGTGGAGGAAGGATGGGGTCTATGTCCTGCTCTGACACAGACTCTTTGAACCAGCTGTGGAATAGATCAGACTCCAGATCCTCTCAGCGGCCACATGGGCAGAGAGGCTGAGCGGGGAAGGGCTTCGCACGTCCAGGCAGCTCCCGGCGGGCTGGCGTTGCTAACGGGCAGCATTAACACCCACCTACGCTGGTGTGGTCAGTGGAGGAAGGATGGGGTCTATGTCCTGCTCTGACACAGACTTCCTGTAGGAGCTTGGGCAAGTCACTTAGCGCTCCGTGCCTCGGTTTCCCCATCTATTGTGGGGATAATTGCTCTGCCTCACAGGAGTGGTGTGAAGACGCCCCTGCTGGCCCCAGTGGAATGTAACTGAGCCCTGGCATGTGATAAAACAAAGGCCGGTTCCCCTTTAGCCTGGGCTGGCTTAGCCCTCACGCGGAGTTTGCCTGATTTACGCCAGCTTTGCTGAGCTCAGAGTCAAGCCCCTCGCTCCCAGCCCCATCAGGGCTGCCAACCCAAACGCACCCTCGTAAATATCAACCTCGCCACTGCCTCCAGCTCGGGCCTCACCGGGACCCAGTTCAAATCTGCTGATAAGATTGTGGGAGGGGGATCGCACATGCACACGCACACGCACTGTCTGTACAGATCTGCGCACATGCACACACACACGTGCTGTCTGTACAGATCTGTGCGTGCACACACACACACGTGCTGTCTGTACAGATCTGCGCACATGCACATGCACACGTGCTGTCTACAGATCTGTGTGCACACACACACGTGTTGTCTGTAGAGATCTGCACACATGCACACATGCACATGTGCTGTCTATATGGATCTGTGTGCACACACACTTGCAGTCTGTACAGATCTGTGCGTTCACACATACACACATGCTGTCTGTACAGATTTGTGCGTGCACACACACACGTGCAGTCTGTACAGATCTGTGCGTGCATCCACACATGTGCAGTCTACAGATCTGTGCGTTCACACATACACACGTGCTGTCTACAGATCTGCGCACATGCACACGCACACGTGCTGTCTACAGGTCTGTGCATGCACACACACATGTGCTGTCTGTACAGATCTGTGCACGTGCACACATGCTGTCTGTACAGATCTGTGCACACACACACATGTATGCACACACACACACGTGCTGTCTGTACAGATTTGAGCATGCACACACGTGTTGTCTGTACAGATCTGTGCACACACACATGCTGTCTGTACAGATCTGAGCATGCACACACGTGTTGTCTGTACAGATCTGTGCACACACATGTGCTGTCTGTACAGATCTGTGCACGCGCGCGCATGCGCGCGCACACACACACGCATATTTGATGTCTGTACTCGTGTGGAGAGAAAGAGTCTAGACACACACATACAGACAAGTATTGTCTGTACAGACCCACATGCACTCTTGATGTCTGTACAGACCTGCACTCCATTCTTTGTGGTGCTGCTGAGTGACCTTGGGCAAGTTGCCGTTTCTCCGGTGCCTCAGTTTCCCCATCCCCCATGGGGATGATGACAGCACTCTTCTTTGAGATCTGCAGTTGAAAAGATCCAGTTCACTCTTCAAGCCCTAATGTCACCTAAGCAATGTTAAGGCAAACACATCACCTTAACTCTGCCCTTTCTTGCTGCACTGGGCCCAGCTGGAGACCTGCACATGGGTACCTAGAGAAAGATTATATTGAGGGGCTTAAATCTGATCTGAAGAGCTGCCAAGATCGGCCAATTTAGTCTCAGGCTTCGATTGACGGGGAAAGGCCGAAAGATTCCGTAGGCGGCAGTGCACATGGCCAGAGAGCCAGCCAGGCGGGAGGAGGAGAGGGTGTCTAACGGCTGGGAGTCAGGAGTCCCGTGTTGCTGCGGCTCTGGGCGGAGAGTGGGGTCTGGTGGTTAGAGCAGGGGGCTGAGAGCCAGGACTCCTACGTTCTTGCCTTGCCTGTGGGAGACAGAGGAGAGCGTGGTCTAGTGATTAGAACAGGCAGAGGCCTGGACATCAAGAATCCTGGGTGTAATCCCTGCTCTGCCACTTACTCACTGTGTGACCCCAGGCAGGTCCCTTCCCAGCCCTGTGCCTCGGTTTCCCCATTGTTAGAATGGCTCGTGTGTGCAGGGGGTTATAAGGATCAGCCCTGTGGACAAGGCCAGTCGTCCTGCGTGGCCTTCAGCTGGGCAAGGGGCAGCCGGCTGCTCATGGGTGGCTCCTTCGGAGAGAACTGCACGTCCTCTCCTCTGCTCGGACCCTCTCCCCACGAGCGGGCTCGACTTGCCCCGTGCTCCACCCTAGAGGTGGCCGCATTGCCGTGCTGGGAGCCAGGTTGTGCGGAGGGCGGAGCAGTGAGCCCAGCGCTATGTCTGCGCTAACAGGCTCTCGGCACGGCACGGGGCCGGCCGCTGGGACCCTCCCGCCCGGGGGCGGCGGGCAAACC